ACTCGAGTGCTTGTGCGCGTGCGGTTTTGTAGTGACGCTGTATACGCATCCTCCATCGCCGAGCTTCCACGTCTCGATGTGGTGTTACCAATCGCTAGCGTCGCTTCCAGGGTGGACCGTGGGTCCCGCCCATGCACCAAGAACAACGGTGTTTCGTCCCGTGTCCGATTGTGGGCGGTATTCAGGGCGTAGGTGGGCCGTTCTGCGTACTCGTCCAGTCGCGCTGGTCGTTGTCCGCGGTGTACATCTTGATGGCCCTCGTGATCGTCTGCACCATGCGCTCCGCCGCCCCGTTTGCTTGTGGGCGATACGCGAGAGTCGCTCGTTGTCGTTGACCCATGAGTTTGTTGAAGGCCTTGAAGAAATCGGACATGAAGCCCGGCTCTCGGTCGTGGCGAATGGCTTCACTAGCCCCGAATCGTCTGAAGACCGCCTCCTCACACGACTCAGCTACCGTCTGCGCAGTCCGGGACGCACTTGCCTTCACGATGACGAAGCCCGTAAACAGGTCGATCCAGATTAACAGCTCCGTGTTTCCTTTGTTTGACGCGGGCAGTGACGGTATGTGGTCCATCGCGACCACTTGGAACGGATACGTCGCTACGATATTCCCAGGAGATTTACCTTGGATTGTCGGTCTGCCTTTGCCAGTCTCGCAGTCGACACATTCTCCGACATGACGCTGTACACTTTTGAATAGTCCCGGCCAGTGGAAATGCCGTCGTACGCGTTGGTGCGTTCGGCCTATACCTTGGTGTCCACCTTCTAGACTCGCGTGGTAGTGGTGTAGCACGTCTTGTCGGAGGATCTCTAGCACGACCAACTTCATGATCCAGTCCCGGTCTTCTGCCGATTCGTTTCCCCGTACATGGTGGTACAACAAGCCACTCTCTCACCTCGTACTGTTCTGCGATCTTCACACAGTTTTTCACCTCCTGTTTGGAAAGCTCACTAGTTCTTCACCTCCTGTTTGGAAAGCTCGCTGATGTCTCCGCTTAGGAACTTCTTGAGGTATCCAGAGCACTTCGTCCTGCGCCGTACGGACCCGATCCAGTCTCAGCCGTTGTACTTGTAGTTCCTTCAAGGCTTCCGGCTGTCTCCGCGTGATTTGGCGGGACGCGTCGCGCGACCGGGTGGTCACGGGATAGACTCTCCCCGTCCCGCGTCTCTCGTTGTCGGGACCGCGCGTCTCCCGCTCTGAGCCGGGTAGCGTGGGTTGCAGCACTTCTCCCAACCGATTCAGCGTCTTCAGATCCTCGATCTCCTCGACGCTATGGACGTCTTTGCCTCCTCGTCGTTGGAGTGTCTGTCCGGCCAACATATCTGAGCTCGCGTTCCAGTCTCGTCGAACATGTAGAAACTCGTGCCCGGGCCATTCGCGCAGCGCGTTCCAAGCCTGTTGTCTCAACAGCTTCAATCCGGG